CTCCAGCAAAAGAAATATGGAATATTAAGATAAAATATACAGTGGCCAGTGACCTAAGAGAGAATTGGTATAAAATGTTTTATCGCTGGTACTATACCCCAGAAACGGCGCTCCATGCAGTCATGCCGGCCACATGACCTTGGAGGTGTCTACGGACAACACTGGCTCTTTGGCTTAGAAATGGAGATGAGCACCACACCCCAGAGTCAGACATGACTGGACTTAATGTCAGGGGACTACCTTTACCATTATTATTATTATTATTATTATTATTATTATTATTATTATTATTATCTTCATTACAAATTCTTCATTACATTTATGAAGGCAATATTAATTTTTGGTAAGTTCCTTTCAAAACCAAACCAAGTGAAATTCTCAACTTGCTTCAATTGCCAGATGACAATTTCTTTTAACTAATCCAAACTCACAAATAGCTACAGGAATTTGTCAGCATAGAGGGGAACAAGTCCTGTTCATTTGACAAGTAGTTGTTAAAGAGACCGGATCTCTTGAAGAAAAGAAAGAGTTGAAACCTATCCCATACATAATAATTTATCATGCTTGTTTTCAGCTAAAATTGGTATTCGTAGTTTACTTTGTAGTTAAAAAAAATCCATGTCAAGGTGAGACAAAATTTGGGAATTTGTTCCTCCTAGGGCCCTGATGGCGAACCTATGACACGTGTGTCAGCGCTGACACATGTAGCCATTTTCAATGACACACGGCAGCATGCAGCCGCATACAGAGAAGTATGTGGCTGCATACCAGGTGCAGTAGCCGAGGATGAAACATTTGCTGTAATGTATTGTAGTCACTCTGTACCGGAGGTCTGTAGGCCAATACAACATAACTCTGGCACAGAGCATCTAGTTCTGGGACTTCCAGTTAGGCTGTTAGAAAATCTTTGACCTCACTTCTGCCTGGTGGAGCAGGGAGCAGCGCAATGCCATGGGGGATGCATCTCTGGGGGCCCTGTGATCGCCATTACCAGCAACCACATAACCACAGCAACCATCATCCAATCTACTGTTATGGGGTGTTGTGGATTTCTAATTGACCATCATTACTGAGATAAGTGAGGGGGAAGCTGGAAGAGGCAAGGGCCTGTGCTATGGGTGCCATTTCCCACCATTAGAAATAGTGGCAGCCATCTTAATTTACATAAACAACGCCATCTTGCAGCATAGTACAGACTCCATTTCACCACTACTACTGTCGTGCATCCTTATGAACCCTTATTTCTGCTTATTAACCCTGACCTTTCCTAAAAGACAGTTACATGTGCCATCTTGTGGTCAGTTAGGCTAGTTATCCCCGAATTGCCTAAAGTTATACTGTATATTGCAATTATACATTTTTGTTAATCAAACTTTAAATATTGTGAAATTATAGGGTTTTTTCTCAAAGTGACACACTACCCAAGTTATGCTCAGTTTTTGGGCGAATTTTGACACACCAAGCTCAAAAGGTTGCCCGTCACTGTCCTAAGGCATGGTGTGTGTATATGTGTGATTTTTTTTTAGCCAATCCCCTATTTAAAAAGTAATACAAATTAATTGAAACTGGGAGTGATATAATGGCATCCAGGACTTCAAGATCTCATGTTGGAAGCAATGCAACCCCGCAACAGCTGGCTCTTCTCCAATCCTGCCTTACATTAACTGATACTATGACAACCCACAGTTTGCATCTGTTGCTTAGTATCTGAAAGTACCCATAAGTATGTGAAGATGTTCCCCATGGGAGCTGGCCAGGTTGGTGACTACAAGGATTAAATCTTTATTCCATCACCACAGGCAAGTGATAGTTGTTGCTGTACTCGCCAACCTCTTTTCCCTCTCTCAGTAAGAGAGCTGTATTTGGTGGCTTAATTTATCTTTCAATGCTGTTCTTGTTATTATGTTAACACCAGGCAGGACAACAAAGATAAAATGAAGTTTCAGCAAGATGATTTATTTTGCTTTGCAGCCGTGTCCTTTTTACACATCCATTAGCATCTGCTCAGTATGGGATCCATAGCAATATATTGGATTCTCCTATTCAGCCAAACTAGAGCAGAATTAACCTTTTCCTCCCTTCTCAAAAAAACAACCCCCCAAACCACCATTAAAAAAAATCAATACCTTAATATTTAGTTTCCATGCTCTGGAGAGATTCTTTTTAAGCACTGTGCTAATAACTCAGGTAGGAGTAAAAAGAATCAATTTTTCTACCCATTGGGGAGTGGGGCTTTTCTCGCTGCTGTATGTACAAATTGGCTTATATAAAAATACTGAATGTCAGTATCCTAAATTGTTTACCAAAGTGATGGTCTCTGTTTCAGAATTAGAAGTCTGAAAGAGGTAAACCAGTAACCTAGATCAGATCCATGTAATAGAGGAAGATAATACAATTCCAGGAAATAAAAGGGCTGGGATTCTGGAGGCAGATAGGGCTAGGAATCTCGGGCTAAGAGTGTATTTACACTGCAGAATTAATTCAGTTTGACACCACTTTAACTGCTATGGCTCAATGCTTCCATCACCACAAATGGAACCATTTCTTTTTTTCTTTCCAAGTTCACATCAAAATCCAATTGTCATTTTAATTTCAATACTATTGTTCTGGTACGGCCATACCAGGAGCTCCAGCTTATCTTGCTATTTGTTGAGTGTTGCATGTTTTTTAAAGTTCTATGCATTTGCAGTTAGATGGCTTTCCTTACTTTGCAGTTATTGGGTCAATGACCTGTCAATTATCATTAGGTTCCCTAGTTCCGCCCCCTTTTTGGGTTTTGGAGGGAATAGGAGCCATTTTAGGTCAGTCCACACAGAGAAGTCTTTCTTACAGGACTTAAACCAGGACCTCCTGTAAAAGGCTTCATCATTTACAGCTTGGCCGGGGAGAAATAGCCCCATAGCTTGGCCAGGGATATACAGTCTCAGCACAGCTTTTGCTGGGGACTTTACAGTTTGCTGAGGAAGTTACAGCCTCTCAGCTCTCTTGCTAGGGATCCAGTCCCACAGCGCTTCAGCCAGCCATCACTGGGAAGTGAACATCTTCCTCCTCCTGGAAGTTCTGCAAAGGTCTCTGTTCGGTAATGGCCCTACGCGGCAACCATAAAGCAGATTGGACCGGGTGTAGGGCCCCACGCCAACAGAAGAGAAGATTGCCCAGGGTAGAGGTCGAGGATTTTCCCAACAGTGAAGGAACAGTTGCCTGCCCTTGGGGGCAAGATCGAGAAAGCCAGCAGTTTATTAAGAAAACTTTGAATCCAATAGTTGAAGCCTTGTTATTTGTTCAGTAATAAAGATTTTGTTGCATCTTTAAAGACTTTGAAGCCCATCTTTTCAGGAAAATCCCAAAAAACCTCTCTGAGGCAACCCCGGCATCCCGTTGGGCTCACAGAAATTAAGTCCTGTTTATAGTCTTTTAGAGGAGCCCAGCGCGTGACAGCACAACTATACAGCAATCATATCTTGTCAAAGGAGCTAGAGAACCTTGCCATTACAAGAATGTTTTGAATGGGGTTGAGGTTTAATTGATAACAGTCATTACATTTCTATCCTAATATCTCCAATAATAGTTTTCTTCTTCATCTAATTTTGAGGAAATATTATGAAAAATTTATTTATTAGGCAGAAATATACAGGAAGCATAATGCATTTATATAGTGTTTTCAGGGAAGCAAAATCATCAAATGTATTGTGTCAGTGTGATTTGGCATGATGTGACAGTATCTGGAGTCAGGCAGATATATTATGGGCAAAGTATCCAGAGTGTTCATTTTTCATTTTCATTCACTGTGCCTCATCCAGGGTGATGATCGTATGAAGCTCCCAAGCCCAAATGACAGCAAGTTTTTCCAAAATCTGCTGGATGAGGGAGACTTGGAAGACATGATGGATGCCGAGGAATATCTGGTCCCTCAGGCATTTAACATTCCACCACCCATCTACACTTCCAGAGCAAGAATGGACTCCAACAGGGTAAGAACAAATAATGGCATTGGATGAACCAGGAAAAAACAAGCAACCACTTTATAATGTTTTCTGCTGACCAGAATTACTATTATATTCCTCCCCAGCAACCGCTTATGCTGACTGTGGAAGTGGGAATTGTAGTCCTACATATGGGAAAGTTGCCATGCTGAGCAAGTTGCTACATTCATTCAGGGAAGATTGCATGGTCCTAATTATACCCAGCACCATAAGCAATGTGTGTGATATCAAAGACCTATCTCTGAGGAATTACCTAATATATGACCTCATCAGACAGGCCAGATTTGGCGGTGTTCATCAGTTCTGCTTCAGTTTTGCTATGGAGTATGCCAGCTCCCATCCCACGATGTACATCTCCTTCCGGCGGGGTTCTGTGGCAAAACTGAAGAGGAAACGGCATACACCACTGCAGTAGCAAGACAAAAGGCTTTCTGTGTTGCATTAGGTCCAATAGGTGAAGCAAGGTGGAAGATGCTTCCCCCTGTGGAACGGGGCAAGGGGGAAGCCAGGCAATGTGGGGCATGGGAAGACGTTCCCCATGCCAGACACCACCAGATTCCCCCAATCCATGGCGATTCCGGTGGAAAATGTGATAAGGTCCTTTGTAAGATCCTGAATTTTAGGCCATCACCCATACAGGAAGTGAAAAACTACAGTTCCACATTTCCAGATCTACTCTTTTTCCATATTACTGTTGTGAATATGAACCAACAGCAGTGTGCTATCAGTGTCATATGCCCACATACATATGATTTACTTGCATGTATGTTCCTTTTTTAATCATATAATCATAAACATGTCCCTTGGTGGGGACTTGCAGCTACCTCAGGATCTGAATAATATCTCCTACCATTCCCTTTGCAGGAGCTCTTCCTGTGGCTTGATAGCTGGCAGGGGCGGCGGGGGGGGGGGGGGGGGGGGGGGGGGGGGGGGGGGGAGAGGATGCACAACTCTGTAGACTCAAATGTAGGATCCTAGTCAAAGTCCCAAGTGCTCCAGTCCCTGGCATTCTCCATTGCTGAACAAACCTCAGCTTGGGACCATGGAAAGCCACTACCAGGCAGGACAGATGATTCTGAGCAAGGCAGAGGATTAACAACTCAATATTAAGCAGATTGTTATGTCCCTTGTAAAAGTGCATACTCATTAAACATGAAATCATTGATAAGTGTAGGAGTTAAGGAAAACAATGGAAACACAGCCGACACTCAATATAAACAATCCACATTTCCTGACATTCTATTTCCTTTGAGTAACGTGGGATTTACATTTGTTTGCTCTAATGAATATTAATACTAAATGGACCCCTTATAACTGGTGCCATTACTGCAAGTGGTGAATAAACCAAAGCAGGTTAGGCAGTTTATGTTCATTGTTACTGGGAAATTAAATTTTATAGGAAAGTTTCCAAATTCTCCAGTAAAGCAAGCATGGAAGGTTGACATCTAGAAGTCTAGAAGTGGTTCCCAGAAATTAAAAGTTTTTTTAATGGAAGTCTTTGGGAAATTATATTTTTGTTTAGATAGAGGTAATCATAAAAGGAAATAAGTCTTTCTCAGCACTGCCCTTAGGAATTTAAGGCTCAGGAGACACCTGACTTGAATTAGTATTACAAATGATGAATTGTTCCGTATTAACTTTGATCTTCTTGGGTTTGTGCAAATTAAGAATGGTGGCATGGGAGTATTTCTGGGCTACCTCAAATTCACAACATATAGAAAGCTCCTTGTCTTCTCTTTCTACATTATTTATTTATTTACAGTATTTATATTCCACCCTTCTCACCATGCAGGGGACTCAGGGCGGTTTACAATGTACATATACATGGCAAACATTCAATGCCATAGACACACAACAGAAATAAACAGACACACAGAGACCATTTAACATTCCAGCTTCATGAGGGCATTCTGGCCACCAGGGGAGCTGTTGCTTCGCCGTCCATTTGTGACACTGATGGAGTACTTCCTCATTCTTTGCATGCTTGTCGGAGATTTTTATGGCGTCGTACATAAGGCAATCCTGTTCTTGGAAAATGGAGTGGGATATAACTTTATGAAAAGAAGCTGTGACGATCTGCTATGAGTTACTGTTGTGTGATTTTCCACAAAAGATTATTTTCATATTCACTAACAAGGTCCCAGATTTATGGCTGATCTTGTATGGAATGGGGGACATTTGGAATGACAGTTGACTGGATTTCAATCTACTAAATTGCTTCATTCAATCCATAGAGCCTTGGGCGGGTTTTGAAGCCCAGTCTCCCCTAAGAAACAAGCATAAGAAGAGGATTAGGGTTACTGCTTCTATGAAATTGTAAGAAATGGGTTTTGAACTTGACTTCAATCTTGAGGAGTACTCCTGCAGTCTACAGTGGGTTTGCCTTCACTTTGTTCACAAGGGAAGGTGCAGTAGAGTCCTATTACCACTTGCCTTTCCTTCAGGAGAACAAAGAGAGGTGAAATCATTACATGACTCACTCTTAGAGATGTAATTCTTCAGTTTCTTCATCTTCAAAGGAAGTAGTGAGTAATTTTAGTCATTTTTCTTGCCATTCAGTTTGGCATTTATTCCACACAGATTCACTCTTTTTTTTTGCAACAAAAGCAGCAGATATATTATTTTCTGTGTAGAAGGTATTGTTCCCTGCGTAGAAAAAGCTATAGCTAGGGACTTATTTTGTGCAAAGCTGTCAAAATGTGATCTTGCTTTTTACCCCTTGGGAATCCTTAGGAATCTGTGCTTCAGGATAAATGGATAGGTATATTTGAAAAAAAAGAAAGCACCAATTTCAATTGCAAGTACCAGCAGACATTGCAGGGAAATGGCCTTCTCTGAAATTTTTGAGAGCCAATGGCAATACGCCTCCCAGACTTTCCCCCAAATTCTGGTGTGCTTTTTAAAGATCTTATTTTTCAGCTGAAAATGACTCATGGGTATGATCTGGACTGTTGTGGGTCTCACCCAAGTTCAAATTACTTCTTCTGGGATAGCTCAACAAAGCTTAAGAGGGGGTAAAAATAATTCTCCAACCTCCCATACAGAACTTCCTATGTAAGATAGCCATTCTTTCTATTAAATTCCACAGATTATAAGGACCTCATTACATGCTGGTGCTTAAGCTGGGGAACAGTGGGGAAATCCGTGGGGCATGGAGAGAACCATCCTTAAAATCATGCATCACCTTCCCCATTCCATGAGGGAAACCTTCACTGCCCCCCATGCTGTCCCTGGCTTAGCCACCCATTTTCTCTGTGCTCCATCATAGGAAACTTCCAGGATGGAGCCAGAATGGATCCCGGATGGATCCGTGCCACAAGTAGTCCAGCATCATATAATGGGCTCCGTCGGGCTCCAAACTTGCTACATCCTGGAAGAATAGGAAGGGTAAAAGCTCCATGTGATGAGGTCATGAGGAACATGATCAGCATACAATGCAAGCTGCAGTGTATACAATATTTCAACTTTCCTTCATGGGAAGAAAAATCAAAGTATTTTAAAGGGTCTGGAGAGTCTGATACAAACAATCTCTGAGTGTGTTATTGAGGATGATCATGATGATGATATGTGTTGTACAGTAGACTCTTGGGTTAACCCATGAGTACTGGTAGTTGCCAGGATGATCATAGGTATTGGTAGATGCCAGGTAAACATGAATTACTCTTGGGTGTTGTTGTTCATTCATTCAGTCGTTTCCGACTCTTTGTGACTTCATGGACCAGTCCATGCCAGAGCTCCCTGTCACCACCCCCAGCTCCTTAAAGGTCAATCCAGTCACTTCAAGGATGCCATCCATCCATCTTGCCCTTGGTCGGCCCCTTTTCCTTTTTCCTTCCATTTCCACGTCCATTTAGTTTTCTTGGCAAGAATACTGGGGTGGTTTGCCATTGCCTTCCCCAGGGATCACGCTTGGTCTGACCTCTCTGCCACAACCGTCCCATCTTGGGTGGCCCTTCACGGTTTCACTTGTGACATCATTGAGGTGCTCAAGCTCCAGTGCCATGACAAGGCGGTGATCTTTTGCTGGAGTACTATTGGATAACTAATGCTAAACCGCATACCATACAATACCTCACTATAAACTCTCTATTGACTTGATATCAATATTGAAATGCAGTAATCAATGCAGTAATTGCACCGGGATTGTGGTGCAGCTGGCTGAGTGTCAGCGGCATTAAGATCACTCTGACCAAAAGGTCATGAGTTCGAAGCCAGCCCGGGTTGGAGTGGGCTTCCAACCAATTGTGTAGCCTGTTGTCGACCTGTGCAACCCGAAAGACAGTTGCATCTGTCAAGTTGGAAAATTAGGTACCACCTTAAAGTGTGGGGAGGCTAAATTAACTGATTTATGAGAACATAAAGAAGACTCTAGCAAGCACTCCAGCAAAAACATGTGGGGAATGCGGAAGTACTTTATCAGTGTAGCAGATGGACGATGAAAGCGACAGCTCCCCTGGCAGCCAGAAAAAGTTAAATAGCCTCTGTGTATGTCTCTATACGTTGTATGTCAAATTGGCATTGAATGTTTGCCATATATGTGTACAATGTAATCCGCCCTGAGTCCCCTGCGGGGTGAGAAGGGCGGGATATATTTATTTATTTATTTATTTTATTTACTTTACTTATATACCGCTGTTCTATACTGCTGTTCTCAGGCGACTCACAGCGGTTCACAACAAATAAGAACAGCAAAAATTCAATGCTACAGTGTAAAAACAGTTAACAACCTAACATATTACATAATTAATTATTAATAAATTAATAATATAAATACTGTAAATAAATAAATAAATAAAAGCAAATAAAGACAAACTTAACACAACACAGTTTTACTGTATTATCAAAACAATTTTCAGTTTAATGGACTTCACCAACTTAAGTGTGGGCTTACTCATGGTGCACCAAATTTAAACATGTGCAGGTTTTATTCTGCTAAAATTCATTTTAAAAATATTTGAAATATTCTTTCTTTGTTTTTTGCTGCTTAT